CAAGGCCAATCGCGAGCGGGGTCCCCTCACTCCCCGTTTTTTGCCGTGCAGAAAGAGATCATATACCGTGGATTGTTTTTGTTTTTCCAAGGAGCAGCGACATTGCTACTACCACAGGCAGGCAGGCGCGTTATGTAATTTCGATCCCAGAACTTCGTGTTGGGTGTTTGTAGAGTATGTTACGGTTTGGGGTGGAGGGGGGGGGGGGTTCTGTCGTAGACGGCGTTGCCCCTATGGTAGAGTATTGTTTCGTCTAGGTTGGCCTCGTTTGAAGGGCGGGGGGGTGGGTTTGGGGCGCCGAAGGAGAAAAGAGAGGTCTCTTTCCGCCCCTGCTGGTATTCTGCTGTGTTCTGTTGCATCGATTAGGTTTCCAGTGTTTTTTTCCTGCACCGTCGTATTGTTGTAGTACGTAAGGATTCGACGGCGCAGGAAAAACACACGGGGGGTAAAAAGAATGGTGAATCACAAGCAGAGCGTGTCTTCCTTTCTGTGATGGGTTGATTCGCTTTTTTTCATGCATGGTCTTGTTAATCGTTTTTGTTCGTTTTTTTGTGTCTCGGTTTTTAATTTCAGTTACTTGTGTGTACCCGTAGTGGGGGGGGGGGAGAAGAAAGTGCGCATGGTGCGCGTCGTGTCCGCTGCTCCCTCCAAAAACTTGTAGATAGAGGAGGGGAGAGAGTGACGATCGTTCGTGTTGGATCAGTCGGTGCGGGATTTAGCTGTGGCACTTGGGTGTCTTTGTGCGTGCGTGCTGACTGAGTGGTAGTCATGAGACAAGAAGAACAACGCCCACGGAGAAGGGAGCGATAAAAAACATTTCAAGTTCCAGCATGGTTCCAAAAACAAGAATTAAGATAGACGGCGGGAGGGACAGATTTTCGACTTGCCTGGCGTGCGTCTGTCGGCCAATCAGCGGTCTCTATTTTTGCTTGGTTTGGATTGTTTCTTCGCTCCGAAGAGAGGGTGGGTCTGTTCTGGCCTGAACACGCAGAAGCCTCCCCCGCACCGTCATGCCGCCCAAGTGTGTCATTACGACTATTAAATAGTTGTCGGGAGCATGGCGGTGACCGTGCGCGACTAAATATCCCGACACATGGGGCACGAAATCTTACGGCTCTCACCTCGTCGAGACATTTCAACTCAACAAAAATAGCGGAGGGCCACGGCAATCTATTGCTAGGAGGAGGCAGCCACGAGCCGTAGACCAACCGCAACCTCAATTCGTTCTCGCCTCGGTTCGCCTTTCGTGCCCACCCCGCCCCCGTGTAGATGATCAGTAGACGCTACCCGTCGTCTCTATAGCCCCAACTGCAAGTTGGGGTTTGTTTCTACTGCTTCGTGCGGCTACAAGAAAACGGCAAGAATAACACGTGTGTAAAGATGTGTTATCCCAGGATTTACTGTAGATGTGTAGGCGGAACATAAAAGAGAATGATTCCTTCCACAAGGTGCGGGGAGATGTAACTCCCCGCCGAAGGATAAAAACGGGGGACAGGATCCTTGGTAGCCTCTGTCGAGCAGGGGATCCGTCCCCCACTGTTGTTGTTGTCGTTCCTCTACCTTTTCCCAAGGCAGCAAGAACAGCTAGCTGCTGTTCCGCAAGAGTTAACAACAAAAGGAGTTCTTATTCACGGGTCTTATGGATTGCACCACGCGCGCGTATCCTTGTCGCAGATGGGGAGAAGGAACGAACAAAATATATTTCCTCCTCCTGCAAGACCGAAAGGGTAAGAAAGGGTAACTAATACTGATGTACCCGATTGAGAAAATCCTCAGAAGGGCACGTGCTGGGAGTCTCTTTTTCGGTATTGTAAGGCCCGAGTGACACCAGCTGGATTTTTTTTTTTCATCACTTGAAAAATCAGCGCTCACATCATGCCCTCCGGATATTTTCTAGGAGCCGTCCAATTCGTGGTCACACAAGAAGAGTTCCTCTCCCTGAGGCCCCCGATCCACCCCTCCCCCCTGGCGTACTTGGATGGAGTCCTCTGTAACAACTGAAATTGATTGGCATTACACGTGAGAGACACTCCACAAGCAAGCGTTTTTCGCCCTCTCCCACCTTCGATCCCGACGACATCACGTCATCGGCCACCTGGCAAACTCTGCAACCCGTCGTCGTCGTCGACGTTGCTCGGTAAAAAAAAAAACGAAAAACATGCTGCTACGGCCTATCGTTCGCCCGGCCCCGTCCGTCTGGCTCTCATCGGACAATCCCATCCTGTCCGGAAAAAAGAAAAGAAAAATAAAGAGCGAATGAATCTCTGCGAGTAACACACCACGCACGGTACACGGTCAACAGACGTTCATCGTCGCCCCATTTTTCGAGTTGCGAAGAAGGCAGACCCCCCCCACACACAAATACTTACGTACGTACGCCATTTTAACGGAGACCTTCACCCACGACTTGCACGCCAGTTTTTCGTCTACGGACACCTTCTTCTTCCCTTCCCGCGACTTGTTGGAAGACATTTTTTTGTCGGTTTAGGGAGGGAGGAGGGTCTCGCCACAACATGCCCGCAGCAGGAGTGCTTAGCCGGCTTCGGAGCGAAAATAATCCAAACCCAAAACAAACGTGTTTCCAGCATAAAATACCACTTACTACCACAATTCCACGCAAAGAACTTCATCTATCTTTGGCAACCATCCCCCTCTTTTACCTCCAAGTTAGTTGTCTTCCTGCAAGAGACAGCAACAACAAAAAACGGCAAACAGAGAGAAAAAACGGCAAAAAGAAGGAGTCCGCTCGGCATGTGTACGGAAAAAGCCTCCAACACCAAGGAACTCCGAGGATTGTCCGCCCGTTCATGCAAACAGTTTATGTGTGTGTGGGAGGTGCTATATTACGTACAGAAACACAACGAACGGAGAAGTCTCTCCTCAATCTTCGCCGCGAAAACATAGGTTGCTTCCCCCTCGCCCCCCCCACCCCCCACCCCCCAAAAAAAAGAATGGTAGTATAAGTTATAACAGAGCAAAATTGGACCTGTTCCACGCGCCCCCGCCCCAAAAAAAACCCCGAAAGAACGAAAATGAATGGGTGCAACAGCAGTGGTGGCAAAATTGGACCTTATCCCCATGGAAAGGGCTTCTCTTACTGCTGCAG